CAGTTTCTATGAAAACGCGCCGTCCGTAGATGAAGTGATGAAATTTTTCACAGCCGTACGTAGTTCCCATAATTTTTATTTCAATCTGAGTAACGCCTTTCCGCCTCTTTCATTACCCAAGAGGCATAGGCAACGGGACGCCAGCGACTACCGTGACGCTCCAATATCGCCGATCGAAGGCCATCCCTTAAAGCGTCTGACGTTATCTTTGTTTCTTTTGTAGGGTCAAACATTGCAAGTAAAGGTTCCTTGCAAAGTGCTTCGGAGAGCGAAGTCCATTCTTGTGCGTGGTTTTCTGTCCATTCGAAGACAGCGTCCTTACGTATTAAACTTCGTAGAAGCTTTGTTTTCTCGCTGAGCGCAGTTAAATATTTTCCGAAATAATTCAACACTCCCCACATCCGCTATACTCCGAGCTTATGAGTTGGTGCTGGCATCTCGCGCAGGCAACTCAACAACCTATTACTGGGGCGGACTCCAGCCTCGCTTATGAGGTCACCCAGGAAAGAAATTTCCTCCACGCCGAACTTGCATTTTGTGAAGTTGAACGTCAAGCCCGCTCGTACTGCTTCCCGGAGAGCGACCTTGAGGCGCTCCTCATGCTCGTGCTTAGAGCTTCCCCACAAAAAAATTGTCCTCTATGTAAACCCTTATCCCTGTTAATGGGTCAAATATCTCGCTCAGCGTTTTCTGGAATACTTCGGGTGCTAACGAGATTCCACACGGACGCCCAAGGAAGCGGTAGCGACCGAACGGGGTGCCGAACGTACAAATATTTGACGTAGCTTCGTCCAATGGAATCTGATGAAACCCCGATATAGCGTCAAGCCGAGAAAAAAACTTGGCCTGATAAAGCTCAGCCTCAATACCTTCGCTCTGTGGCATCTGGTAGTGTGCACGCTTCAAGCACGCGTTATATTTCTAGGGTCCATGCATAGCCCCCTCAACGCCCCCCCCCCCCCCCCCCCGCCCCCTTAAGGCTGCCGTCCTTTTTCTTCACAATAACAAGGGGGCTTACCCAGTCAGTGGGTTCATCCACGTTCCGGATGATATTGGCCTTCTCCAAGCGCTGCCGTTCTTCTCCCAGGGGCTCCCGAGTGCCAAGGGCACCCGTCGTGCAGGCTGGACCACTTGCACGGCATCGTCACGTAGTACCATTCGGCAATGTCGCTTTACACAGCAGGTGCCATGGAACAGGTGGGAGAATTCTTGTGTTACAAAAACGGTGCTGCCCGTGCTTACCGAGTTCCCCGTTCTGGACACCAGTCCCAGGAGTTCACTTGCCTGTAGCCCGAGAATGTCCTGACTTCGTTTTACGAGGAAAAAGTCGACGCGGCAGTGATGCTGGTTGACGGTAACGTCCTTGGTTGTGATGCCGTTGTGTTCGATGACATTCCCGCTGTACGAGCGTAAGACCCCGCATGGCTTGGTCTTAAAACGGCTTAGGGTGCCGTTTTAAGTACACCGACAGCAGCAACAGGTTGGTTTGAGAGCCGGTGTCTACCTTCAGCGAGACCACTTATTCCGCTACCTGGTCCTTGACAGTTCAGTCCCGTTCCTACTCGATGACGCAAACACCCACGTCCAAGATGTGGAAGTCCTCGTCGTCGTGCTTCACCTCGCTGACTTGTTTGTTGGAACACGCTGCGAAGTGGCTGTGTCCTCAACGGGCGTGACAACTCTTCCCAAAAGCGGGGCATTTTCTCTTTTCGTGCCTTCTCTTACACATGAAGCACTGTTCGGTTCTTGAAACATCTGAGCGACGATGGTAGCTTTTTGTGGTTGAGTTCCACTTTTCTTCGCGGGTGTACTATGCTTCATTTTGTTTTGCAGAGGCTTCTGCGGCTTTGTAGGTTTGTTCTGCTTTCTGGAGCATCATGTCCTTTTTCTTCAGCATTTTCTCTGGTACCATTTCGTTGTTAGTGCCGAAGACGTTTTAATCGCGAGTCTTTGAATCAGAAAGCTGTCTGAAGTTGCAGTACCTTGCTTGTTTCCTGAGGTCGCGGATAAACACTCTCACTGGTTCTGCCTCGTCTTGCCTTCTTGTCCGTATACCTCGTTCTGCTGGTCCGCGCAGTAGTCCTCGAACTTTGCAACAAGGGTCTTGTAATCTTCCTTACTTTCACCCTCAGCGAAGGCGAAGTTATTGAAAATCTCTAGGGCGTCGTCCCCGGCGATGGTCAAAAGTGTGGCCACCTTGGTAGCTTCCGTTCTTGGTTTTTCTGGCGCCGTCGCTTCCAGGTACATCTCGAACTTCTGTTTGAAGAGCGTCCAGGTCTTCTGAACGCTTCCCGACAGGAGAAAAGGGTCGGGCTGCTTGAGTGGTTACATGACTGCCTCTTGCTGGCAGTTCCGGTGTGGTCGCTGGGGCCGCTTCTGACACCATGTATCAACGGGCTCTCGGCTGATAAGAAAGCCAGTCAGACACTGCTGGCTTGGTGAGCACAACAACAACCAAGGTTTATTTGGCATCGTTTATATAGCCGAAAACAGGGGGGCGGTACTCACGGCATGACTCAGTGCTATACACGGCATTGCGTAAGCAGCGTGATAAGATTGGCAAGCGGTACGAGATCGGCATGATACACTGACCACATTGATGGCGATTATTTTGGACGGCGAGACAACTGTTGAATTCTCACCTAGTAACTACCGTGTTCCGTGCACAAAAGCAGACAAGGCCACGGCTCTGCGACGTAAACCCGGGCTAATTTTCGAACCCAGGGTCCGTTAGGGGGGGGGGGGCGGACGACCTTTAAAAGAGCGAGCGCCATGTTGAAAACGATAATTCGTCAAGCCGAGACGTTAGTGACGTGAAGAAATGAGTAAATGCGATTAGCTGGCGGAATCATATACACCAACTCATGTTTACAAACAAACCGGAGCGCCCGGAGCGCCCCTAGCGGACGCCACCGGCGCCGCGCATGAGCGACGGGGGTGCGGGCAAGAAGCTCGCCGTCGCCCATCAACAAACCATTGAAATGCGATGTTATCGGCCTCGGTGTGAGTCCCCGCGCTCTTTTTCGCGTTGTAATTGTTGCTTCTACGTCTTCCTTACGATGTCTGACTACTTGAGCGGCGCCAGCGAAATTAAGGAGGCTCGTTACCCCGCAAAACTTCGCGTGAATAATTTGACATGCGGCGATTCATTCCGCGTAGACGCCGCAGAATGTACGCTAAAGCCTGATTCACATGATGAGATTTCGCTCACAGTTTTCAGTAGCGACGTTGTTCGGACTGCAAAAGCGTGAACCGTAGCTGAGATGGTCGACGTCGATACTGAAAATCGCAAGCAGAATGTAACCAAGTGAATCAGGCATAACAAGTCGGTGATGGCCACTGGTAACAATGATCAACATCGCCTTGTATATCTACTGTTTACGTCGAGCCTGCTTACCAACTTTCAAACTTCAGTCTTTTGAAGCCTGCACTTACTTCTTATCGCAAGTACCGGCCCCACGTTTGGTCTCCGGGCCGGGGTCCTCTAAAAGAGCAGACGACAAGCAGAAACGTTTGAAGGAGCAGACGACAGTTCGAACGATCAGGCGACCGTTTGAACTTGAAGACGCACTGAACGTAGTCCGCAGGTGGCCCGTACAACTTGACGGTTTTTCGGCGTTCATTTTGGAACAAAAGAAATAAATCTGTTAGACCAGAAGTATCCGTGAATTCAACCCAAAATGCTTCCCGCCCAAGCAATCGTGGTCCGACGGCGTCTGGTTTTCCCTTTTCACGGCACATATCAACGTTCTCGGACGAACCGAGCGCATGAAAACTGACCTTCAAACCTTTCTCGACCCTTCCTGGTACAGCCCCAGTCGCAGCATTTTGACAAGAAGGCAGGTTTTTGTCTGGTTCCTTTCAAAACAACACAGGAATACACGTCTCACATGGGCACTTCCACCCACAGCCCCGAACCGGAAGTGCGTCCGACGCGCCACCACCGCACCGTGACGTAACAGAGATGAGTTCGTGTATAAATCGTTTGTGATGCGGATTTCCCGTTGAATTCTTAATTTTTCACTATTATAGGTCGAATGCTGGGGGACCGCCACAATCCTTCCAACCCAACCTGGGACTAACAGTACTCCATGTAAAACTACTCAGCGACAAAGACTCCCGTGCCAACAACATATCAGCAAGGGCGTGGCCATTTAGACAAATCCTACGTGACCCCAGCTGCTTGACTGAGAGCATAAAACGCTCACAACAAGTAAACTTGATTGAGTCAGATCTGCACAAAATTTTCCTTCGAAAACAAGCTCTCACAAAATTGTTGTTAGCGATGTTGGGGGAAATTTGGAAATTTGGCAATAGTGTGGGAGCTGCATGGCTCACTTGTCACTGCATCTTCCACACGGCCTTGGCTTGGCGTCAGAGTCCCAGCGAGTTCAGCTCCCAAGAATAATCCCGAACGAGGAAAGATCACCAATAAAGAAAGACGCAATGGGATTTCATCTCGTGACTCAATAAGAGGAACACGTGCGAATAGAAGATACTAACGAGGCAATATAAATAAGGATAAGAACAACATCCCCTGAATTTTGTGATAATAAAAAAAAGCCCTTAATTTATTACGCTTCATCTCACGCGCGCACACATACACGCAGATATCACACACACACAAACACACACACACCCACACTCAAGCATGCACGCAAGCACGTACACGCGTTGGCACAGACGCAGAAACCCACGCAGACAAGTACGCACGCACATGCACTCACGCCCATGCATTCACACAGTCTCACACTCGCACGTATGCAAAAACGCATACACATAAATGCACGCAAAATATGCGTACTCACACATACGTGCCCACATACACATAAACACACGCGCACACAAGAGCGCCTGAGTGCACACATGTTTGAGCATGGCCAGTCCTACCCAGATCGTGGACTGCCCATATTAATATCCTGTGTGCGAAGAGTTTAATGCGCGTAGAAAAGGGTGCACGTTGCGCGTCTAAGCTGTCAAAGTGAATTTTATTGTTGACTTTACTTCTCACTATCCGTTGGAACTATGCTAATTTTGCTCCGTCCTTCGGGCACTTGGACGCAGACTTGCTGAAGACATACCTGTTGGAAAGCCAGAAAACAAAAGGTTTGGCACATTTCATAAACGCAGCTCCTTTAAACTATATTTACAAATTGAGATCATGAAAAAATCAACTTCTTACGTGTCACTGGGGAAATCTTGCAATTACTTCGTTATTAAGATATATAGATGTAATATAGGCGTCTCAGAACATAAGGTTTCACAGTTTAAAGTACATAAGAACCCTTTCACAACCTCAGCCCACGGAACTTTGGAAGAGCAAATGGATAATCAGTTTATCTAAAATGACTGGACAAAGGTCGAGGTGTTTTATATTATCTCAGTATATAACAAATGATCGGCGTAAAACCTCGTGGAAAAGGACTCAGTACATTGCCCCTTTTCGTGAGACTCCAACTCTACAAGCTTAGGGGTGGAACGAATGCACACATTCATTGGGCCATCAAGAACCAAGCATTCTGTAGTGTTTCTGTTGTCGCTGAGGTTCAAATGATAATTCAAAACATATTTGTTCTCGCATTTCCTGCAGTAGGCACACTTCAACCTATTTGCAGTTCACCAGTTCAAAGGCTATACTAGGCAAGTGAAGACGGCTACGTCATGTAAAAATGCCCTACCTTCCTCTTGGCATATATCTCACTCCGCGAAAATACAATCCTGATTAAGTACCGGCTTTACATAATTCGAGTGATTGGATGCGCCGAAGTCTCGTTATTTTCGCATTTCCACTGAGAAGGTTGACAAGCGATGCCCGTCATCGAGCATCACTCAGCTATCGGCTGTTCTTTTTTTTTTCCTTGTATGTGTGCCGAAGATGATTCGGCGGATGCGTCATAGCTTATAATTTTTACATTTCACAAAAAGAGAGAGAGGGTGAGGCAGTTAGAGGGAAAAGCTCCTGCCGCTGATTGAAGAGGCCCCTGCCTCGCCTTAAAGTTGACCATTGGAACAGGACATCTTGGAAATTAAAGTGCAAAGTTCAAATTAGTAATTATCTTGTGCGAAATTACGTCTGCTTAAAACTTTGCACAACAAAAAGGATAAGGACGCCATTTATTTTTGTTTATCTCACTCCAATATCGTTTTTTTTTTATTATTTAGAAACGATATCACTAGCGCCAATGAATTCTCTGGTCTTTTTCTTGAATATAGGAGAAAGGTATTGAAAGTTGATATGGTCTACAATTCTAATAAAGAAAAAAAAACGTGGTAATTGAATCGTTACTTGGCGTAGTTGGTTCTTGTTTTGGGTGTTTTCCGAGCGCTTTTCTCCCAATGCTGAATCTGAGCTACCACTCTTCGGGTTTAAGTGCAGCTTCTCCTTGTATTTCAACAGATTAGAAGTAATATATCTTGTCAGCCTTTAAAGAGTGTACTTTTTGAAAAGGGGATCTTTGTGTAAGTACCGGCAGTCTTCCTAAAAGTTATCCAACATGCGAGATAATCTTTTCTGGAGGGTTATAATTTTGTTGTAGTGAACCCTAGTGTTGTACCACAAACTAATACGCCATAACATATTCTTGAATAGCATAAAGAGTAACGTTTCATCGTCCTAAGCAAGTATTTTGCTTATATATATATATATATATCTTATATAATTCAATGCAGAATGTATGTATATATGTCGCAGTAAGCCATTTCGTCTTTAAAAGTTTGCTCTTTCACCTCTTCTAAAAAACTTTCATCAAATTTAATGCGTATGGCAGTTTTATCTTGATTGTTAACCGGACAAACGATCATACATTACGTGTTTGTGTTTAATTAAGCTATAGTTTGTTGCGCTTTAACCAGGTAGATAGTAAACCCAGATATATTTTGCTATTGTTTCTAGTGTATTTTAGATTGTGCCTTAAAGAATGCGCTAGTGTTATCTACGTACATGATTATTTCTTGTGAATCTTGCACGGTTGTCGTTTCGTTAACATAGACTACGAATAAAAAAGGTACATGTATGGACCCTTGGGTACTGAGTCTCGTATTCCTAACATTTCAGTGTCTACTTTGTTTATGTGCACGTATTGATAACGAGCCTTTAAATAACTTCCAATAAGTTTTATTTCATCGACGCTGACACCATAACATTTCTGTTCAATCAAGAAAATATCATGCTTTATCGTATGAAAGGCATTCGTAAGGTCTAGTAATAAACCTGTCTAAAAGTTTCCTTCAATTATTTGAGTTATTGCATCGTTTATGCGTAGAAGTGCTTGCTCTATGAATTTGTGCTTTTGAAAACAATATTGTGTTTGCTTGTTATATTATGCTTCCAAAAAATACCCAAGAATGTAAAATACAACGAAATACATATTTACAAAAAAAAATATAAAGAAAGAGTGCCTTTATACTGACTTTTCGTCTAAACAAAATTGTGGAAGTTCACCTAATTAAATTTCTAATTTTGAGGTCGTATAAAACTGATCGAAGTATTGTAACAAGCTGTTGCTAAGAATTTCAGGTATACATACAGTAATCATGCAAACAATACATTTTTTGCAAAATCTATAATATGCGGACAAAACGGGGGTATTTAAGAAATATTTAAAGGTCATAAACGAACACAGTTTTCTTGATGCAGTAACAATTAAGTAAATACATATTCACAATTATTTACATATGATGTAGTGGTAATGAGAAACAAGATGCTGTAGCTTGTAGGAATAAAAAAAATACACAGAACCGTCAAGCTTGATAACCAAACCAATCAAACAAAAGCTTTGTATTGGCAGGTCGAAATCACCATGTGAAAGTGCGGAGAGCGAGGTGCACATGCGCTTTGGAACCCGGGGCGTCCACATTTCTAGAAGAGGCTTCGGCCCTGTATGCGTGCTGTCTAAAACTCATTAGTAGAGTGAGGTGTATTCCACATAAAAAAGTAGTTGTTTTATAAGATTTGTCGCTTCTCTCAATTGGGTATTTCCCTTCATTTTAATACCTCCAAATTCAATTTCTTTATTCACTCTCTACAATTCCTCTTTTCTCTAATTAACACTTTCTAGCCTTTTTAAACTGCGATTACCGCTACTGTAGAGTCTGACGCTCTCCCTCGCACTTTCTGCATTTGCCTTGAGTATTCGTTTTCTTTTACGGGGGAACTGGTGGTCGAGAATACTAACGCACCATAGGTCAGAGCGCGGTTAGCGAAACCTCGCGATTCAGAACCCAGGGTTCCCGGGTTCAATCCCCAACTCTGCCCGTTTCGATCTGTAACAGGATACCTTGCTGGGCTCGTTGGTTGCACGGCATAATGAGAAACAGCGGAGAAGGGACAGGACACAAAGTAGAAGGGCACAGGATATACGCTGACTAAGAACAAAAGGTTTACTATAACTTCTATGCGCGCACAGTAGCCCGCAGGAGCACAAGCTCTTCTTTCTCTTTCAAAAGAGATAAATGCTAATAAAGAAAGAAACAGCGGCGCTAGAAGGACATTGCAAAACGCGTGACAAGAGTAAGTATTAAAAAAATATTAAAACTCTGACAGCGGCACACGTCATGCGCTCCGTACACGTGGAGTGCACGCATCGCATGATCTTATTGTTTTCTCGTACCGCTCTCAGAATTTTAATATTTAACATTGTAATATTTTAACATTGTGTTCATCCCCCCCCCCCCCCATTATGGATTAAAAAAATATTTGGTGATGTATGTTTGCGAATGATTTGCCTTTTTATAAGTCTTCAATGATCTGCCTGCGTTTGATTATGATTCTGTTATCTTTGTTATGTTGTTTTTATGAATGTTTGTGCTACTGTTGGCTTTGCGGGGGGAGGGGACTTTGTCCAAAATTCTTTGTACCGTTTTTTCCCACCCCTCATTTTTTCTGTATAAAAAACATCGATAAACTTGAAACCTTAAATTTTAGTATTGTTTGGTATTACCAGGCTTTGCTTATGCGGTATCAGTATTTGCATATAGTGTTAGCCTGCCTAAAATTTTAAGTAACATTATGAATTATAACAAATCTTTAAAATAAGATTCATTGGTGGATCTTACGCCACACACGTCCCAAAGGGGGACCTGTGTGGCGTTTCCCAAGGGTCATGCTAAGGCATTCCCTAGAAATCTACCATAGAACTTTCTACAATTTTTGACGTCTACTTAGACCAGCGCTAGTACTTGGTGCACGCTCCTTTTTGAAGCAGAAACCCAGGCATACGCGCTCGGCACACCCCCAAGTTCAGACTCGCTCAGCATCCGCGCGCGCATTGGCTTCTGCCCCGTGACGTCGCCTCCCTCTCGCCTTTACCAATCACTACAAGACTGTACTCTTATCTTCTCTACGGAGCGCGCTTTCCCTTCCGCTGTTTTGTTAACTGACGGACGTCCCCAACTTTATCCTGTCGTGTGGGTACTAATGCTAACACATTAATACTTATTTCTGACTTCTGTAGGCAGCACGCTGCAATGCGGCTGTTTTGAAAGTAAATATTTAGTCCAGGCCGTTTTTTGTCTTCGGGTTTCTTTCACCTCTTTTTGGAGCTTATATTCAGTGCGCGCATGTACCGGGTTTTACTAGAAATTATGTTAGAAATTCCTAATACTAAGGCGTTTTAGAAAAGAAGAAACTATTTTCGGAAACATACTGGAAGCCACGGCGAACGTCACAGATTTCAAAATAATATATAATTTAGCAATATAAATGCTTAAGAATGACTAACTTTTCAATTAATGAAAATAAACATACGCTTCCGATTACAAACTTCCTGAGTGTCATTAAAATCCCCAAGATCAGTCCATTTGGGACTTTAAGCGCGTGAAAAGTGCGGGCGTGCACTAAAGGTATCACTCGTGCAGCAGGTTTAAAGCCGGCGATGAAGACACACGAATTATAGGAATATTACGGACACTAAAGAGGAAAGATAGAAGACAATTACAGCATTTGCGCATCGCCTCCCCTCCACCTGCTGAAGGAGTGGTAACTTTTTCGCGCCCCCGCGCCTCTCTCGTGCTTCAAGTCGTCATAAAAGAGACTGATCTTTGGGTTTTCAGTGACGCTCAACAAGTTTCTAGTTATGATTATATCCTTATTTTCACTGCCTATAAACTTGTTTAGTGCATTATAAGTAATTGCTTAGCTAACTAATTTGTTTTTTGTTGTTGCAATTCTGCCTTGGTTGGCGGTTCGTTTACGAAAATAGATTTTTCTACAAACCCAAAATTCAGGAATTTTCTAATGGCTTTGTATAAACACCTGGATGTTACGGAAAGTTTTATGCAGCTTGGCAAGGAATACTGAGAAGAAAAAACAATTAGCCCACCTGAGCCGGTCCACAAGGCATTCCATCCGGCGCTCCTGTTTTCTTTCCATTAAAATGTTTGTCGTAATCCGGGCAACAACTGGTTTTACATATATCATTGGTCTTCCAATCTCCAGTGCCGTCTAGTGGCTTTGTGAATCAAACGAGAAAAAAAAAAAGATGAAACTGGGTTACACGCATTTTTTATCAATATCATCGAGAAGAAACTTTTGATTGAGCTGGTTCGACAAATACCACGTAAAATGTAAGGCCTGCTGATGACGTCATGGATAGTGGATTCCCGACACTACCCGAGCGGCAAACACACCGAAATTCGACGAGGGTCGTCGTAAAGCGGCAGACGCGCGTCCGTTTTGGAATCATCTTCTTGTAGCGGCGCGCTCGTTGTAAGACGCTGGGAGATGCGCTGGGATCGATGCTAACACAATAAAGGTTTTGCTGCGTGGATCGCGAAAGAATTGCGATATAAATAATGTAAATTGACAACTTTAGGTTATATGTTCAATTAACTATGTAGAGCGAGTCGTTTACTTGCGCTGTCGTGTACACGAGGTACCGGGTGATCCGCTGCCATTTGCAGCATTTAATCTTCCCTGCATCTGGTCGTATGCTGCCTACAGATTATTTTTGTTTCGTTGTATAAACCATGCCTTCATCATTTGACACGGAACCGTTTACATAGATGGTGTAAGGAGTACGTATGGCGTTGCCACGCCGGACGTTTTTTGATGCCGCCACTGCCATCCCCCAAGCCTTTGCGCATGCCCCCCTGGCAAAGCTGTAAGGTCTGTCAAAAGCGAGTTTGAACATATCTACGGACATCCTCCTCGCAATGCAGACAAAAGTTTCAAGCACCAACTTTGAATATTACTATAGGGGAAGGGGCTAGAACCACTTATAGCATGTTTGCGGACGAAGTGGGGAGCTATGACGTCAAGAACATGATCACACACTCATATAGTTTTTCAGACCACGCGCTAGTGCAAAATTTAGTGCTTATGTTATCGCACGCCACGCAAAACTCTTTTAGAATAGTTTTTCTCTGCCGCGTCGCAAAAGCCCGAGCATCTCGCGCTTGCAAAGCGACCAAGATGCAGTAACAATTTTATTTCACACACAAAATGCTGTAACTTGAGTAGAAAATCAGTTTTTTTTGTTCAAAGTAACATTCAAAATTTGTTTAAATATGAGAGTGCAACGGGAGCGGTCGACCGATCGTGTCCGCTTACGTCGCTTAGGGAAGAGAGGTCTCACCTTCACCGAGAATCGTTCGCGCGTCGCAAGCCGCAAGTTTCCGGCGATCGTTGCCCATCTTTCAGGGTCTTCCAAACCTTTCTAACGTGCACCTCCAACAGGAGCGCAATGTCGTACTGTGTTGAAAATCACAGTCGCGTCGATGCCGCCGCCGTCGCTCTTACGATGTCACCAAAGCGGCCACAGTGGCGTTCCTGGGAGCCGCCATTTTTTTAAATGTGCTCGCCTTGGCTTTATCTAGCTATAGCCAACTTCTGATCATGAATCCTTCTAGGAGGAGCGCAAATGCTCTTTACGAACGCGTGAAATTTAAGAAAAATAGCCTACGCTAAAAAAAAGAAAAGCGCGCACAAAGGGCAAACTGCAGTTAGCGTTCGGCGCATGCGCTGTGGCGACGACGCTATTCTTTGCGTACACAAATCTTTGGCATGCGCTATTTTAGAACTACGCATTGACACCTCAGACTTCAGGTGAAACTGATTCCTACGAAGAACAGTTTAAATATACAAAGTCCGCCAACACTTTAAAGAGTAGTGCCAAGAAATCCAAGGAGCATCGAAGTAAGAAAAAATCATGAGCTATTCCACTCTCTAAAGGTGGATGACCAGCGAAGCTGTTTAGCACACGACACAGACCCGCCCTGAGGAGCCGGAGGAAACTAGACACGCAATGGGACAGCCACCCCGGGAGAGCGGAAGGAAAGGAAACTAGGCGCGCAAACGCTTGGAACGAAGACAAAGAGGGGGCGGTGCGAGCGTAGACATGGCCGACGCGGATCGCACAGAGGAAAATTTTGGAGACACCTTTATTATGAGCCTGAGAGTATAGTGATCTTAAAAATAGTGCCTATTGATAACTAATCTACTGAACTGACCTTTTGCTAAATTTCCCAGGCATCAAAGAGAATGCAGGGAACAGTGTTCTACGCGCCACACGTGCCGGCGTCCGCAGCAGTAACTGTTCCAAAGCAAACAGCCTAAAACAAACGGCAACTAGCACGCGCGTTCGTCAACGCTTTATTTTGGTTATTTACTTTGAATCTTTTATACTTGGAAGGCATGCACGAGGGGGGCGTGTGGCGCAGCGAGCATAGCATTTTAGTCACTGCCATAGCCTCCTCTATACTCATAGCAGGCCATATGACTCGCACACAAAAATCCACGGGACCCTAGCCATAAACAGCTTCGCTGTGAAAGTAAGTGCATTGGTGGAAGAGACAAAGGAACTAGTGAGTCAGAGATGTGAGCTGTAGCATCGCTATGAATGATGCTCAGCAATAGACAAAAACTGCATATATTGCGGCAGGCCCAACCATCTTGCCAGATCATGTAAGGGTAATAATCAATCAAGGAACAAGACGGCTCCGTAAGTGCATCATTTACCAGCATAGGATTGATTATGATTCTTATCAATAAACACGACTGCTAAAGCAAGCAGATGGATACAATCGACATAGAAGGTATGTCAAAAAAGTGGAAGTTTGAGACTGGTGTCACCGAATTGAGTCATCGCAGTGAACCACCCCCAAAAGATTACTACAAAGCACTGTCGGCAGTACATCCTGCTATTTCATACAACAAAATAACTTCTGCTGAAAGATTCACCTTCATGTGTCCGGTGACGCAGATACCATTGAGATCGACTTTTTGTAGTAGAGGACGGCGGAACGTTCGAAAAAATTCCCGGCGGGGATTTTTCTGAACTTTTGGTGTTGCGCAATCGGAGAGCTTGTTGAGGATGAAGCACATATAACGACCAGTTTTGGTTAAATTATTTTTTTCAACTGGTCCCCTGTTCTTTTCTTCCCGTTGCCCCTCGTCTTGACACGCACATGCGCTTAAGATGGAGGTAATTTCGCCATAATTTAGAAAATTGTGAACCGTTCTGCGGGTTGAAAAGTTAAGAAAAAAAACAGCTCTTTCGAGCGGCTAGCTAATACAATGAAGTGTTCTAAGGTTTGTGTCAAGTGAAATACACCACCCACCACCTCATGGTCATGCTATAGGTGCCCAAAGTACCATGAAGTAGTCAAGACGTATTGCTTTCATGTTGCAGGAAAAGCTGAAACCAGGGCTTGACCTAGTGCAAGCGAACAAAATCATCGAATTCGGCAATCAATGAGATTCAAATCGATGGAAATGGGTTTTCATTCCGTCTGAATTCAATTCAATGAATGCGTTACCTCAGCTTTCGTTCGTCGTCGTACTTTGATGGGATTAGCCATATCAATCTCGGAAAGAACCACATTTATACCATTCGTGGAAGGAACCGCATCTATATCCCTCTAAGAGGCAGTCGCATCCATAGTTCTAACTACACACACACAGATGTTTTTTCGATTCTCACCAAACAAAACTAAAACCACTTATAATGAAAATTTAAGAATGTTTAGTTTCTTACCCTCATTCTACTTGAACATTACCAATACTTATGAATTTAGGTCTAACTTTTAAACATATACATCCCAGTGAAGTGTAGATGTACCAAAACAAATGATGCGAAGTCAGATTGTGAAGAAACATAAATTACAATCTTACCACGTTGCATGCATTGTTCTCACTTCGTTGTGTAATATTTTTGCATGGGTCAATGCAGTTAAAAAATGTATATGGAGTCATGCTCTCCGAAGGGGACTCCGTCGACGGCAGTTTTAACTTATAGCATGACTTTTTGCTATCAAAAAAACAAAATACGAGTTCGGCACGTGAGTAGGTATGAAGATTAGGACAAAATACGCCACAGTACAATTTAACCATTGCACTTCGAAAGTTATTAGGCAACCAGTAATCAAAATAAGGCAATCAGGAATATGAAATCAGCAATCACCAATTCCTGTCGTATTATGTTTTCAGTCGTGCTCTGTAAAAAACTCTGAATAGTTCTGAATTTTCGCACATCATGAAGCAACGCCCGCACTTGATTTTCTTTTCATTATATAAGCATGGATGGACACCTGGGCATGCCTTATTTATCTGAAGAGTTGCATACTTCAATTAACGTTGGCCCTCGAACTTCTGGATAATTTGTGTCTCGTATGAGCCAACTGTTGCAGAAGTAGGCAAACATTAAAAGACATTTTGTAGCATGGTTTTTCTACACTTCGGGGTGTCAAATTACTTAAGTGAAATATTATTTTAGATGTACAAGATATTCCTCAAAGTGTCGAATATTGCCTCGCGCGCAGCTGGCCGAGGAGGGAGCGCGCCCGTGGTCTACCGGTTATCGTGCCTGCCCTCCACGCGAAAAGCCAGGGTTCGATTTCTGGGAGCGACTCACATTTTGTTATTCCTGCAATTTAGTTTTCTGGTAAGTTCGAGAATCCTGTTGGCGTGTTCGAGGTCCGAATGTTCTACGCGTCCAACATTCTACGCCGATTATTCCAGAAGCTTCCGAATGTACCGTGCTAATCACACTTGTCTATAACGCGCGAGTGAGCGGCTTTCTCCGGGGAGCGCTGGAATGGTGGCATTCGTGGAAACTAAGCTAGTCACGTTTCGTAACATGGGACAGCCCGCTCGAGGGGTGTCCTGCCCACTCTCAGCTTGATAAGCGATAAAAGTAAAGTGCTTTATGATATATTTTTGTTGTTTGATGACGACATCGTTGATACGCCTTTATGCTTTAGTGTGTTTATTGTCCGCGCAATGATGTTTGTAAAAAGCGTGCGAGCAGCCTTCCGCGTTCGCCGCCATTTGGTAGAGTGGGCAGGAAGGCCCCCCCTCGAGGGGGCCGTTCAATGTTGCGCCACGTTACTAGCTTAGTTTCCGCGAATGCCACCAGTCCAGCGCTCCCCAGAGAAAGCCGCTCGCTCGCGCGTTACAGACAAGTGTGATTAGCACTGTACATAAGGCGCTCCGCGTGGTGAACCGGTGTCAGTCTCGCCCCAGCGTTCGACTCTGCTGTTACGCCGACTTCGACGCCCGCGACGCACTGTTATTATCTTTTGTACCCTTTGATTTTTGGCACAAGTTCGCCACATTAAACGTTTATTTCTTCCTGCTTATTTATTGCTCTTTTGGTCACCACCCGTGACAGTATAGTGCAATGAAACCACATTCTCGTATGTGGATGCCTTCAACGTCTTTGACCTCTTTACCCAGTATTGTATGTTCTACTGAAATATGTATTAATCCAAATAGAATATTTGCCTTATGAATCGTCAAATTATTTCAGATTTAATTTCTCAGTTGGCTTTTTTGCACCTAACGTTATTAAAAGATTTGGTGATCGATGGCCTTATTTATTAGGTTAAACGAAGATGACATTTTAACCATTATGTTTGTAACAATACTGTCTGATAATCGAGTGCCTTTAAAAATTTCAAATGTATTTGATATCTTTTTTTTTAATTTGAAGCAGTAAGTATACAATTTGCTACAGTCTTCCTTTCAATATGCCTCTTAAATTTTAAAAATCCGCTTCGCATGGGCATGAATGCTAGATAAGCGGATATAGAAAAATCGAATTCTATATAAAACTCTATAAATAATTGTTCTATTTGGTCAAAGAAGCATTCTACCAACCTGTTTTTAAGTGCAATGTACTTAAAAGCGATAGTTATATTGAATGCTGCTTTATGTTATTGTGGTAGGCATTTATACTTTTTCGAATACTCTGACATTACAATTCAATTTTTGTTATTACATTTTGCATAGTAATAAATATATTGATCTCTCGTTTCAAATTGTAATTTGTGATATTGTCTGAATCATATGAGTTCATCACACAGCACACTCATGTTACAACTTATGCAAATAGAAGACAGCAACAATAAGGTTTGAGATATACTTGCTTGTGCGACTTTGTTTCGCCAAGGTAAAATACTGGTACAACATCTGATAACAAGAGGACCACTTGCATATTTTGAAGGCTTCAACCCTCTAAATGGGGCGTCCAAAATGCATTCCCTTTATTAAATTTGTCTCCCTTAAATTTCTCTCCTTGATTGCACTTAATGCTTCGCAAAGAGATTAAGAGGCGAGCGTGGGTATCTAGTAAAACCTGGGAGCCAATAAGTGCATCTACACTTGAATTCCAGCTTGCCCAATGCGTGGGTTCCGAACTCTGCTACAATTAAAATAAAAAAACGCCTAACTGAGGCACTAGGAGAAATTATATTCTATATTGTTCTGGCGTTGTCAATTGTTTATTTAAACTTTAGAGTACACAAGATATTTATAAAAAGGACAGCTCATAGAAAATTGCGTAAAAAAAGATATATTTTAAAAGTAAATTGATTTCTTTGCCGTAAACCTGTACTAGGTTCAATTCAACATAATATGTTTTAACTTGAAACACGTTTTTATCTTATGAGTGAGTGATAGAAGATATGATGAGGACTGAATGCGGAGATTTATGTGATCGGCATAACACAAGTCTTGTCATTTGAATCGGTTAATTTTCAAACAGTTATAGTAATTTGTTCTAATTTAATTTAAGTCTATTTTATTTACCTACAGAAATTTTTAACGTCAAGGATATACGCTAGTTACTAAAGTCTTAAAAGTTTGCAATTAAAATTATACTACTACCCAAGAGACCTCAGAGTCCGCTCCTCCCATGACTTTTTGCTGCATTCTGAGAAGGTGGGATACCGGGTGAGTTCACCATTTCTGCTCATCACATGGCCATCTTTAGGAGCACACCCCATTTTATTCCCTTGATCGTCCCACTTAATTCCCAACCTGTAAAGAAAACACGCAAGTATATATTTTACCACGCCGACGTCTAAAAATTGCGCCTATATTGTAAACTTTTTATATTGTAAAACATTACTAACCATTCCTGCGACGTTTTTAAATTGGTACACGTTAAGTTTGAATTACGAGCAACGCTCGTGAGGATTTTACTGTTTGAACTTGTGAATGAAATGTAATATTGCACAAAGTGAGCACACAAAATAATCCCGCTGAAGTAATTAGGATTTAAAAAGAACCAGTAATTATGACATAATTTCAACCCGATGAATGTCGGAAGTAGCCACTTTGACAATGTGCTCAAAATAATAGACAGTTTTTTTAATAATAAAGATTTCAGGCTTGCCGGTTGAAATCGTTGACGAAACTTTAGCACATAAGTGAATAATTCATGATGTTAGGTGGGTCAACTCAGGCTTATTGTTACAATTATTAATTATATTTTTATTTTCAAATATCTAATAGCCTTCTGTTAAAATTTTTAGGTCAAAAGAAAGGGTCACAACGCGTAGTGATCCTAATGGTAATTATTTTTATTTAAATCTTTCATGTCAATAACTGAAGCACAAACTTGCAAATATTTTGATATAACTGTATATTTATGTTATTTTTATGTAAACTGCATACTTTTGATTACTTCAAATAAAGTGAAGTGACATGTGAATAAATATTTCTTAGAATAATACTCATATAATAATAGGCTTTCCCATTATCCACAAACAACCAAAATATTGTTCTGATTGTTTCACATCCGCAAAGCACTATAAGAAAGACAATTCGTAAAAACGATATCCACTCACAAGTTAGCGATTTGTTGAACTGCAGCGGGAACGCCTGAAAATGTCTTGCCGTCATCCGAGCTAAGTGCCACCCGCCACCTCGAGCATACGCCAAAGGTGTAGGACGCGGCTGCCGGAAATCCAAAGAAGCCAGAACATCGTATACAGGTACGCGAATAAATCCCAGACAGAGTTTACTATGTTACCAGAAATGAACTATTCTGAGGGCGTTTGTGTTGAGAAAAACGACAACGGTTAAAAACGTTTTCTAGATTGCTACGCAAATTACGAAACTGCATTTTATAACTACTTTCAACGGCCAATATATATTTTTAATATACCGATTAAGATTTAAGGACTGCAAGATAACTCAGGTTAGCTTACTCATTTGTTGTGTGTGTGGTGCATTTCAAGATGGCATATTTCTTGTTTAAATACAAGATTATATTTATAAGAATTAACTGTTCCGCTTATTTGTAGGATTTACTCTAGGCTCGTCTGAAGATTTTTATACATCTATGTTTGTATTTTTAATTTTATAGGTAAAAGGGCTTAACAGGTTCAGGTAGTGTAATAGATGCTTACAATAAACATATGAAGATCGAGTATTCGTGTGCCCGTTTCATGAGCACTGTTAGTACACAGCCCCTAGTACAGCAAACAGTAAATAAATAAAACAAACAGCACACAACAAAATCAGAACCTTAAACTCGAATATACCTAAAAAAGGAAAGACGTTTACAATCCCATTTAAAGGGACCATGAAATGATTTTAAAATTGAATTTCATCCACCGCACGTCGTAAAAGGTGTGAAAAGGAACACAAAAACACAAGACTAGGGAGCCAAAAAAAATTATTTGCTATAGAACTTTTAAAAGAAAACTGGACTCTTTTGCGACTTCTTTCCTTCGAAAGCTCTGCCTTTTCACTACGATGCATACGCAGAAGCGGTGCACGTCAGCCGAATCCACATCGCCTATTGGGTAAGAGCCTACCTCACCAGCACCGCGATCGTAAACAATAAATAGCCGGCGAATGTTTCCTAAAAGTTTTGTTAAATAATATTCAGATCCACATTTTGTAGCATAATTAGAGATGTGTGGCGGAAATTGCCAAATTTGATAATGCTGAGAGCCAAGCGCCATCTATCGTGTGGTAAACGAAGCAACTACTGCGCGTGCGCAGTAGGGCAGGGCCAAGTTCAGAACGGTTATTTCCTTTGGTTTCCTTCCTCTCAAAACTCTGACTGACTGAACGTTTATTTTTCTACGTGTTCATCTCGCGCGTGCCGACTTCAAGCAGCAAGAAAGAAATGTACTTAAAACAAACCACGACGAACAAGAACGCTGGATCCACAAACACCCGAGAAGAGCGACAACAGCCGCGAATCCCGCTCCGACGAAGCTCAGAATATAGGCCTAGCAGGCACTCCGACTCGGCGCAGCGTTGCTTCGTCGCAAGACCGTCTGCATACGACCGGCTGGCGTACTGAATGGAATATGCCCGCGCTACCCTTGTGGACCCTTCCGTATTATAGTTTGATCGCTGACCTCAATTTTAGGTTAAGAGGTGAGGTCAATCTCTTCCTCTTGTTTTCCGAGGCAGTGTTGACGAACACTCGTCGAAAAGGGACCCTCGTCGATCCTCTCCTTGTTTTGTGTGATATAGAGCTGAAATAAACGCTGTATGGATTACCTTCGTAGCACGGTATGTACACTTTGTTATTGGTATGCCATTTTTATTCTGACAGACTGCACGTCACTGTCGAGCCGTAACAGTTCGTGGGAGGTATACGTGCAATACCGGTCCAACCTTTCTTTGCCGAGTGTCGCGTCAGTATCGAGTTGCAATTGTAAAAGATCGGTCCCGAAGCGCTTACCAACAGCGCGAATACAGCACTTCATCAAACGCGCGCGTCCGCTCCGAGTGTGAACAGGTATTTACGTGGCTCTTGCTGACAGTTCAAACGTATCTTTTTTAACGTCGGCTCGCTCCTGCATCTCCGAGACCGCGAAAAACGCCGCGGCAAATTGTTCCCATCTGCACTTCCCAACAGGCATACCGGCGTATGGGACTAGTCCCATGCTGTCGCTGTAGCGCAACGTATCTCATTGAATTTCGCTCAGCTGCGATGCGGTGATGAGAGGCGCCGATTCAGAAAATACGTCGGTGACATCGGCGCAGTAAAACCCACCGGCGCACCCCAACTCGCTAACGCTCCCATCTCCTACTGCAGAGAGAACTTCCGGTTCCGGAAACATCGTACGTCACGGCTTGTTTTGCAGTCAAGAAAAAGTCGATATTTCATTAATTTTTTGTGTAGAAGTTAATAAACCGAGACGAAAACGGATGCCTGTTCGGCATTCAGTGAACATTGACAGTTTATTGTAAAAGTTATCTGGAAAAAGTAAAAAGGTCATTTCATGGTCCCTTTAACGCCGAATTAGAGCGCAGCTTCTGAGGAGGAGGGGAGGGTACGGAGAAGAGGGTATGCCCCTTTTCCTCTCCTGATCGCCTCCCATTTAGGGAACAGTTTTACGCTAAATTTAGCGGGGAAACATTTCCGCTAACTTTAACGGGGAAAAGTTTACGCTCAATTTAGCGGGTGAACGTTTTCCACTAAATCTAGCAGGGAATTGTTTTTCCACTTAATTTAGCGGGGAATTTTTCCCGCTAAATTTAGTGGCGGCGAAAATTTTCTGCTAAATTTAGCGGAGAAATTTACACATAATGCACCGCGCGGTTACGCCGACGCCGACGGCGACCGCGATGGCGACGCCGACACTGACGCCGTTCAAGCCGCAAACGGGCGCCTAAGAGCTGCGCTTTAAAATGTAATTACAAAGCAATGCTCATTGCTATAACAAGCTGCGTTGCATTGCTCACTCCAAGACCAAACATCACTTCATGATAGCCTGGTGCTTGCTGTAATGGCATAAGAAATGGGAAGGAGCTGTGCATTTTATAATTTACGGATAGGAAGAACATTATGATGAAATATATCGTGTGATGTGACCACTTTTTAGAATAAGTTAAGCTTGTCTACTACTACCAGCTTCCCTTCACGACCGTCGATGCTTGTGAGTCAGCTTACGAAACAAAGATACGGCTCAGTCAATTTACTAAATCCAAATAAAACAGCACAGAGTAAAGTCTTCTTTGTTTAATCAACATTGTAGCAGACCGGTTGGTACTACTATCGTGTGGAAGATGTCCGGTTGTCTACAGCCCATAAAAAAGGAAAGCAATATATATAATTTGTCCTCATTTCAACAACACAATATAGAACTCTGAATGTGTGGGGATCTCCGCCTACCCACTGCCCCCCCCCCCCCCCCCCGCCCCCCAGAAGAAAAAAAAAAAGATGAACGGCGCAAGGCGACCAGCCCGTACGCACGTGCCAAAAAATAACACGTTTTTTCCGGTTTTCTACATATATCTGCATGAACACGAGCGACCTTCGAAGGCGGACGTATTTACTATGGCCTTGTTTCCGATGATGCCGTTGAGCGCCCACGGTTTATCTTGCCTGTACAAAACGCCATTGTAGCTCAGACATTATGGCCACTAGAGCATGCAGTGCAAAAGTAGCAGCTGTTTTTCGCCGTCTCCGCCATCTGGTGTTCTAGAAATCAGTTTTAGTTCGCTCAAGTGGGATCTCGGAGTTCCATGTCGCGAAATGCAGCACAGTTACCTAAATGTTATTACATCATCGCGACACTCTGCCCTGATATGGCGAAGGGTGTCCGTAGTTTTATTACAAAAAAGATCCATACAACACACTTAATGAGGAAGTTATCAGGCGGAGTTCCGCCTGGATGCAGTGCAGAATACAAAATCCTACCGTTGAAGAGTTAGAAGACCGAAAACCACCTGAGCTACTCCGACAGCTTCAACAGCTGCTGGGCAAGAGTGCCCTAACAGGCAACCCTGCAAATCTCCTAGAAATAATTTTACAACACTTACCGCACTATGTCTGTAATGTGCGTCCACCTACAGCGTACGTCGTCCCTAACGCTCTCGCGCAACTCGCTGACACAATAACCGAAGTAGGCGTTTCATCAGCTTCTCACTCACTCCCAGTGGTCAACAAGTACGCACCGCCAATTCATCCAACGAACAGAGCACATTTTAGGCCAATCAAACAGTATATAAGAATATCAACAGACTCTGAGTGCAAGTTGCAGCTCAGGCTGCCGACATTCCATTGACAATTTAACCACGCTCTTTGCCCTTTTAACGGTGGCACTTTCATTCATTTTTTCTACTGATCCACTCAGATGGCGCGTGTGTCAGTTGAAGCACGAAAGACAGACTTAAAAATGCCCCCCCCCCCCCCCCCCCCCCCCCTTCGTACACGACTTCGGTAAATAGGCGAGCGCGACACTGCTTTCGGCCAATCGGTGAGCTCGTATTTCCACAAAAATATTATAATCGAATAAAAAAACTCCGATCCAAGTTCCTTTAGACACAGGGGCTGAGGTGAGCATATTTCTTACAGAGCCTCAAATTAATCAGCGTGCAATCCAAACATTGCCCTTTACCGGCTGCAAAATAGACACCCCTTTCCGCGTGGGGCCAGCAATCTCCAGTCCTCGATATTGAACTTTGCTAAATGTTTAGGTGTTTTTTCCTATTACTGTTTGATTTGTCCTCATTTCGGAGCAGATTTAGACATCATTACCACATTCTCGTGACATGCTTCATCTCCGCCTCGTTGAAGAAATTCTTCAACTGACTCGGTAAGGGATTGACGGTGGCATCACAGCTGCAGCCTCGACTTACTCATCCCAGCCTTATCATATCTTAGGTGTTTAATAAATTTATTCCCGCATTATTTTCTTGCGATGATGGTGCGGAACCCGAATTCGATAAATTCACTACAATACCACCAATTGAGGATGTGAAACTATCAGAGGAAGGAATATTTTCATTGCTTCTAGATGTCGATTTAACGAAAGCCGGAGGACCGTACCAAATATCAACTTCGTTCTTGAAGATGTGTCCTGTAAGTTCGTGGAAGTACCCGTTTCTTGATTTTACGAAGTCGCTGGATAGCTGATCAGGTCCAAATGACTGGAGACTGAGTAGAGTACTTCCAATATTTAAGGACAACAACCCGTGCCTTG